CCGGAGCTGTACTGTTAAAAGCCAAACACTTTTTCAGAGACATTCTGTGCCTGATACAGCTTTATTTTGTTAACAGCAGAAGTGAATAGAGGCAGAAAAAAAAAAAAAACCCTGAAAATACAAGCAAATACCTGGATAGGAATTCAAAGTTTCATTGAAAATAAGATAGAAATAAATCAGTAACCATACCTGTATTACCTGTGTGATGTGGGTGTTACATAGCTGAATATTAGGTACAATATCCAAACTATTCTGATGAAATATGTTGGGAGAAAGAGATTTTCTGTTTCATCAGAAGTTTTGCTTTTCCCTGAAGCGACAGCCTCAGCTTCCCTAGAGACATCTTTCTCCGTAGAAGGGATTGTCAGCAAAGGGTGGGTTGCTGAGGGCTAAATCCATTAAAACCAATTTGAGGAAGAGCTGTTACTTGCTGAGAATGGGAAAAAAAATAAATAAAAAGCTCATTACCTAGAGCAAAATGATTGCTTTAGGATTAAGAAATTGACAGTTACTGTTTAATTACACCAGCCCACTGAAAACTCAGAGTAAGCTTTGTAGACACTTAACACAAGCATATGTGCATTTATTATTCTAGCAGTTGGGGTAAATTTATGATCATAAACGCCAATAACTTGAACAGTATCCAACTAGCCTTTGTGTGAATAGGTTTATTATGTTCATTTTACAGGGAAAACACAGTCTTTCTATCAATATAACCAAGATTTCCTCAATTTTCTTTTATTCTCAGAGTTCTTTTTAATTGCCTGCAATCTTTCTGATTTTAGGCTCTTCATTAATTTTTTTGTCCATTAATAGTTTCATTAAGGAAACATGGCTGTGTATGGCTGTGAGGCTGTTTGTTTGTTTGTTTTTGAGATAAAGTCTCTCTCTGTCACCAGGCTGGAGTGCAGTGGCGGGATCTTGGGTCCACTGCAACCTCCGCCTCTCGGGTTCAAGCAGTTCTCCTGCCTCAGCCTCCCAAGTAGTTGGGACTACAGGCATGTGCCACCACACCCACCTAAGTTTTGTATTTTTAGTAGAGGTGGGGTTTCACCATTTTGACCAGGATGGTCTCGATCTGTAGACCTTGTGATCCGCACACCTAGGCCTCCCAGAGTGCTGGGATTACAGGCGTGAGCCACCGCACCTATCCTGAGGCTGTTTTTCCTACACGTCTGCTTCCCCTTTGGGTCTGAGCTCATACATGACTGGCTTGTGGTCCAGCGCAGGCGCACTGGCAGCTCCAGAACTGCTGTCATCAGCCGACTTCAGCCTTGCTTTGTTTTCATGGCTGTGGCAGGCCAGGTCTCACTAACACAGGCTTCTGTAACAACTGTCTCGGCACTGAGTGGGTGGTTAAGGTAAATATTAAAAGCTGAGAGGCCCAGTGCCCTTATACAAAGGCTGGAATGTCACAAAAGCTCAGAGTTTTGCCCAGGTCTTTCCTGGGCCTTGAGGCATGACAAGGTAATGAAGGAATTCCTAACAGGACGTGTTTGGGATTAAACAAGTTTTACTGGGGATAGGAAGAAATGCCCCGGGCCTCCACAACCAGGTTTATTGGGAGTCTGAAGGGACTCCCCAATCCTCCATGATGTAGCAGAAGACAAGTTAAGGGTAATCACCCCAGCACCTGGACCCATTTAGATTAAGTAAATTTACTGAGGCTCCAGAAGAAGGCCTTGAAGACTCAGACCTTAGTTACACATTCGAAGTTAATCACTTATGCCTTTAGGTGAATGCACACTTACACGTGGACATAAGCTTAGAAGGTAAATAAGCTCTGGAAAACTTTGTAATTTTGAGTTGGTTTGGTGATAATTTCCATGCCTTCTCCCTGTACCCGGTTACAGAAATAAAATCCCCTCTTTCCCAGTTCCCCTGCATCTTGTTATCGGGTCACGAGAATAAGCAGCCCGACACTCAAGTTTTATCCAGGAACAGGAGGGCAGGACAGCTTTTCTTCTGTTTATTGCTTTGTTGCCTAGAACAAAGTAGGCATTTAATGAAAATAGTTGTTAAGAAAACAATGAAGGAAGGGAGAGAGGAAGGGAAGGAGGGGAGGATGGAAGGAGAGATGAAAAGAAGAAAGAAGGAAAAAACGGAGAGGGAGAGAAGAGCCACCCTACTAATGTGAAGAAAGCAGAAGCCTGCCTTCCCCAGGTCATGGCAGCAGATTCCGTCTCTTAAAAGAAGATTATTTTTGGCATTCTTTATTCAAAAGGACCTCTAGAATCTTCTTTCTGGAGAATTTCAAGGTCATATAAACCATCCTCAAACTTAGTTATTTTAGGAAGTTATAGAAAATTTCAGTGCAATGATGAGGTGTGGTTATAATCCCAAGTAATTAACTAGAAGAAAATTGGCCGGTTGCAGTTGCTTGCGCCTGTAATCCCAGCACTTCGGGAGGCCAAGGTGGGTGGATCACTTGAGGTCAGGAGTTCAAGACCAGCCTGGCCAACATGGTGAAAGCCCATCTCTACTAGAAATACAAAAATTATGTGGGTATGGTGGTGCATACCTGTAACCCCAGTTACTTGGGAGGCTGAGGCAGGACAATTGCTTGAACCCAGGAGGCAGAGGTTGCAGTGAGCTGAGATTGCACCATTGCACTCCAGCCTGAATGACAGTGTGAGACTCCCTTTCAACAAACAACCCAAAAAGAACAACCAAACAAAAAGTAACTAAGTAGAAGAAAATCTACTTTTGTAATTCAAATTCAATAGAATGTTTTTTTTTATTCTATTGTTTTATAAAACTATATATATTTTTAAAATTTGATTTAACTAGTGATAATAGAAGAACATTGTACAACTAAACTTTTCAGAAACGAAGCAGTTGTACAAAAATATGCCATCATCCCTGGTGAGATTTTAAGTAAATATTCTATATATGGTTCCCCCAAAGTATCTAAATTCATCATAAAAACAATTTCAGGGAAGACGGCACGGGAGCTAAGAATTAGTGTTGTTATTAGCGCTTAGCATTGAGCACATTAAAAACCAGGTAAGTGCAGCCATTATTTCATACACTTCAGAATACCTGCCTTTTGCAAACACAGCTGAATACAGTTCATCAAATGTGGATATTTATAAGAATAAGCATAGCTCAAACTTTCATGGTTGCTACGGCACACTCAAATACCCCATGACAATAAAGTCTGACCAGAAGTCACTCTTTAGATTAACTCTGGTCATAGAAATTAACACAGAATGATACAAGTCAGCCTGAAGAAGCCGCTGGCTATGGAGAAGCAAACTCATGGCTATCTTTTTTCATTGTTAAACTCTGAATAATCGAAGTTTAGCTTTTCTAAAAAAAATTCTGGAAATTTTTGATCATATGCTATATTACAAAATTTTGACCTTTTATCATTACCATTCAGAATAAATTTATTTTTTCCTATCTAGTTTCCCCCAAGAAGTTAGCTCCTAGGTAATAAAATCATACACACACACACACACACACACACACACACACACACACACACACATTTGCAATAACTTCTTTACAAAGAATCTTCTGACAGTAGGCATATAATTGAGTGTTTTTCATCTAATGCTCAGAATGAAGCACAACATTAAATTGAATTATTTTTCTGGTTTTCATCTTGTTCCTTTGATTTTGATTCACAAGCATTTTCTATGCCCTAGTCACTAAATTGGAGGGGATCGCCAAATTTTATACATGCTAAAAGGAAACTGGGAGCGGTGGCTCATGCCTGTAATTGCAGCGCTTCAGGAGGCTGAGGTGGGCAGATTATCTGAGCTGAGGAATTTGAGACTAGCCTGGGAAACATGGTGAAACCCCGTCTCTACAAAAATACCAAAACTAGCTGGGTGTGGTGGCACACGCCTGTAGGCGCAAGTACTTAGGAAGCTAGAATGGGAGGATTGTTTGAGCCCAGGAGGTTGAGGCTGCACTGAGCTGAGATTGCGCCACTGTGCTCCAGCCTGGGTGACAGAGTGAGACCCTGTCTCCAAAAACAAAATGAAACAAACAGACCAGCAAATGGAAAGGTAACCTTGACATGTCAGGGGCAGAAAAGAAGTTTTACAAAATATCTTTTATTTTAATAAAAATGGGTACTAGGCTTAATACTTGGGTAACAAAATAACCTATACCGCAGACCCCAGTGATGTAAGTTTACCTATGTAAGCTGCATGTGTACTCCTGAACTTAGAATGTTTTTAAAAATTAATGCTTCATTTGTTAAATAACCAAATTAGCTGCAAATTAGTCTACAGTAAAATATTGATAAACCTAATCTAGCAACACATTTTAAGGGCATAATACAGTATTATTGACTATAGGCACTGTGCTGTATAGTAAATCACTGGAACTAATTCATTTTACACAGCGTAACTTTAAAGCCAATTGAACAACCTCCCATTGCCCCCTTCCCCGGCTCCTGATGACCACCATTCTTCCCTCAGCTTCTGTGAGTTTGGCTATTACAGACACTTCATATAAGTAGAATCATGCAGTGTTTATCCTTCTGTGACTGGCTTATTTCTCCAGAATAATGTCCTCCAGGTTCATAAATATGGTTGCAAATGGCAGGATTTCCTTCTTCTTTAAGGCTGAATGATATTTCATTGTACGTATGTACTACATTTTCTTTATCCATTTGTTTTAGTCAGTTATCGCTTTGCTAATAAAGATATAACCAAGACTGGGTAATTTACAAAGAAAAAGAGGTTTAATGGACTCCCAGCTCCACATGGCTGGAGAGACCTCACAATCATGGTGAAAGGTGAAGGAGCAGTAAAGGCATGTCTTACATGGCGGCAGGCAAGAGAGCTTGTTCAAGGGAACTGCCTTTTATAAAATCATCAGATCTCATGAGACGTATTCACTATCAGAGAACAGCATGGAAAAACATCGACCCCTGTGATTCATTTACCTCCTACTGGGTCCTTCCCAATATATGTGGGGGTTATGGGAGCTACAATTTAAGATGAGATTTGGGTGGGGACACAGCCAAACCATATCACCCTTCACCTGTCAGTGGACGCTTAGGTTGCTTCCATATCTTGGCTATTGTGGTTAATGCTGCAGTAAACATAGGATTACAGATACTTCTTTGCTCTCATGATTTCATTTCTTTGTATATGTGCTCAGAAGTAAGATAGCTGCATCATCTGGCAATTCCATTAAAAAATGTTTTTTTGATTAACCTTTATACTGCTTTCCATAGTGGCTACACCATCTATATTCCAGTAAGCAATGACACAGGGTTCCAGTTTTTCCACATCCAGGCCAATACTTGTTTTTTTTTTTTTTAATTTTCCATTTTTTGGTAATAGGTATTGTAACAGGTATGGGGTGGTGTTTCATTTTGGTTTTGATTTGCATCTCCCTTAGGTTCAGGGATCTGTATTATGGACTTAAAATTTGTGAAGTTTTCCCTTTGTTAAGTGTTCTTTACCACCTCCATGTTACGATCTCATGTTAAATGTTCTTAAACACCGTCTACCCCACTCCACTTACCAAACAAAGGGAAACTTTTGGACATGAAAGATGTGTCTGTTCCTGTGATTGCGGGGATGGTTTCACAGGCATCTGCATATGCCCAAGCTCATCAAATTGTCTACGTTAAATATGTGCAGTGTTCTCTATGTACACTATACCTCTGTAAAACCGTAAAAATCTATGATACTTGGCCAGGCGAGGTGGCTCATGCCTGTAATCCCAGCACTTTGGGAGGCCGAGTTGGGTGGATCACGAGGTCAGGAGATCAAGACCATCCTGGCCAACATGGTGAAATCCCATCTCTATTAAAAAACAAAAACAAAAACAAAAACAAACAAAACAAAAACAAACAAAAAAAAACAATGATATTCTTTTGTGAAAGCCTACATATTTATGGACATATCTCAGTCACATTTTGTGACTAGCTACGAGGAGTCAGAAGTTGCATCTAATGAGTTTCTTTACCAGTGTTGTGAATTCTCAGAATTAGTTACAAACCTTAATATCTAGTGAGGGTTGGCCACAGTTGACAACTCAGCCTTCATCCCTTAATATCATCTACTCCAGTCGAGCCCAGGGCTGAGGTGAACTTCACAGGATGCATGGTTAAGAAAAAAATGACTCCAATGAGCCGGTTTTAGGTTGGTGCAAATAGAATGGCGGTTTTTGCCAAATCTTTCTACACCAACCCAATAGAGTTCTCTCTCATATCTGGGATTGGTCATGGGCCCCAGAGAGATCGTAGACACTAGCATGTCTTAACTTTCAGTTAGTTCAATCTGATGTGGCATTTGGGGACTCAAAAACCAAGGAAGTTCACCATGACTATTATTATTGTTTTCAAGAGTATGTTAATAGAAGCAGCTGCTTAGCCCAAAATATGTGTATCATGTTGAATTGGTGTAAGCATTTCTACCATGTTTGCTTTAAAATGTAATATACTTCACTTTCAGAACTGAAATAACAAATTTTTGGTGCACAAATATGTTAAAGGCTATTACAGAAAATAGAATGCATAATCTTCTTGGATTCCTATTTTATCATAAATATGTAAATTTTTAATAGAGTTTTTATATTAAGTGTTCCCACTAATTATTTTTACATTGCTGGAATGTTTTGAAGTAAAATCATGAAAGGTATATATTTTTTTATTTGCTAGGGCTCTTTTAATTGCAGGTGATAGAGACTCAATTCAGCAAGGTTAAATAAGATAGGAATTGGTGGTGGGACTGGAGGTGGCACGTTATGGGCACTGGCTTCAGGCACAGCATGATCCAGGAGCTCCCATCAATGTAGTCAAGATTCTTTCTCTCTCTCCCTCTCTGTTTCTTGCACAGTTGTGCTGACTTTCTGAATGTAGTAACCATGTTTACCTGTGACTAGTTAGTAATTCCATGTCAAGCATTTCACCCCCTTATAGCTCTGCATATATATCGTGTGCAGATATGTTCTAGAATGATTGGAAATGGCCTGGCTTTAGCTGGAGGATGGGGGTCCTGTTAAGGACAAAATTAACCATGATGCTTGTTAAAGACAGTAAGAAAGGTCAGGCGCGGTGGCTCACCTTTGTAATCCTAGCACTTTGGGAAGCCGAGGTGGGTGGATCATGAGGTCAGAAGTTCAAAACCAGCCTGGCCAACATGGTGAAACCCCGTCTCTACTAAAAATACAAAAATTAGCCAGGCATGGTGGCAGGCAGCTATAATCCCAGCTACTTGGGAGGCCGAGGCAGGAGAGTTGCTTCAATCCGGGAGGCGGAGGTTGCAGTGAGCCTAGATGGTGCTGCTGCACTTTAACCTGGGCGACAGAACAAGACTCCATCTCAATTAAAAAAAAAAGAAAACAGTAACAAATACTTTATTCACAAAGGACTGTCATGATAGGTGCAATGGGGTTGTGCAGCAGGGGAGAGAGATTGGGCTCAATTCTGAACACAGCAAGCAAAGGTGATGATTTATAGCCATGAAGCAGAGTGAGAGTCAGTGGATGGAGACAGCAGAGGTAAGGGAGGATTCTGGCTAAACTGACTAACAGGTTCTTGCTCAAACTGTGCAATGCAGAGGTGGCACAGAAGCTCAAGCGTCCGGCCTCACCGGGGAGAGGATTCAGATGAGTCTGAAGTATGCTATTCATATCTGTAATTTCAGTGACTCGAAAGGCTGAGGTGGGAGGATTGCTTGAGGCCAGGAGTTCGAGACCAGCCTGGGCAACACAGCAAGATGCTGTCTCTAAAAAAACATAATTAAAAAGTAAAAGAAGGGTGTGACTGGAATCTGGTCATGGAGAAAATCTTTTTCAGTGGCTACCCTGAAAACATGGAACGGAAACCCCAGAACAGAGCGGGGGTTCTTTTACTAGAGAAGCTGCATAGTCAATAATAAAGAATATCCCTGCTTCCACTGCTCCCATTTATCAGATGCAGAGAATGAAATTTGTAGAAGTGATGTGACTTGAACGAGGTCACTCAGGTAGTAAGCAGGGAGGTGAAATTAAAAGGTTGAATTTAAAATGAATGCTTTGTAATGTCAGTATAGATGCATAAACTTTGATGAGCTTTGAGAAGTAAGATCCCCACATTTCATCTAGCTTTCTGGGGAGGTGCAAAATAAATAGAGAAATATTCGTTTGCTCATCTGTTTGACAAATATCAATTGATACTCTGTGTACTAGGTGCTGTGACGAGCACTACAGAAATAGCAGAGAACAATGTAGAGAAAATGCCATGTCTTGTGAATCTTACATTCCTATACGCCATGAGAATAAAGTACTGCTTTCGAAAATATAATGTGTACCTTGTAGTAATAGAACACATTTTGCTGTTTCTGAGATGTGATAAGTAAATCATAAGATTTACACCATTGAACAAAGATGTAATTCTTGTTACACATACACACACACGTTTAATCAGGACATAAATCGAGATTTTGTGGTATTAATCCAGTCCATTCAACTAGGGTTGAATAATCTGTTGCTATTTTAAATGTAGTTCCTCTCTCCTTAAAATGATTAAATCATGGCCCCAGAAGGAACTTGGGGAACTTGTAATCCATCCCCATGTCATGGATAAAAAATTAACAGAATTAACTGCAGCTATCTCAAACAAAAACATACAATAATAACCCCCGTTTATTCTGTGCCTGCCAGGCACCGTGCAGATTATGTATTGTGCACTGTCTCATTTAATGCTCATGACAACCTAATGAGGCAGGTACATTTGACTATCAGTCCCATTTTATAGTAGACAAGACGGAGGCTTATAAGTTACATATACTTAATTTTTTTTGAGACCGAGTTTCACTCTTGTCACCCAAGCTGGAGTGCAATGGCACGATCTCGCCTTACTGCAGCCTCCACCTCCTGGGCTCAAGTGATTCTTGTGCCTCAGCCTCCTGAGTAGCTGGAATTACAGGTGCCCGCCACCACGCCCGAGTAATTTTTTTTGTATCTTTTGTAGAGATAGGGTTTCACCATCTTGGCCAGGCTGGTCTCGAACTCCTGACCTCAGGTGATCCACCTACCTGGACTCTCAAAGTGCTGGGATTACAGGCGTGAGCCACCACACCTGGCCAAGTTACATATACTTTTTAACTGCATGGCCTTTGGTAGGTCAGCAAATGCCCATGCAGTGTTTGCCTGAGCTCTTGCATCAACCTTACCTGTTTTGCTTTTTTTAGTTTGGGTCTTGTTCTGTCATCCAGGCTGGAGGACAGCGGTATGATCATAGCTCACTGCAGTCTTGATCTCCTAGCCTCAAGGGATGCTCTCACCTCTGTCTCCCAGCCTTGCCTTTTAAGAGCCTTAGGACTCTTCACCTGGGAAATCTATACAATTTTTTTTTATTATATGTAAGGAAGAACACAACTTTTCTTCTGTGAATACTGCTTCAAAGACACAGAATCCACTGTAGATAGGCAGGTAGATAGACAAGCTTATTGTGAAGCTCGTTAATGTTGATGGAATGGGACAGATGGGGTCATCTAAAGGGTTCTTGGTAAAGGTACAAAAAGCAAAGCCATGAGACCAGAAGTGGGAGCAGAAACAGCTGGAGCTCAATCAGTGGGCTTCAAAATTTTGGCTCAAGGTGGGAACATGCAAGTTGATGGTCAAGTTCATTGCTCAGTAATGCCTTGAATGAGATAAACAGCAATGCTAGAATCCAGGGGATTGTGATCCCTGGAGCTTGGCAGCCAGCGCCTAGCCTGCTTGAGAGTCCAGATGAAGTGCTCAGTGAATTTAGTTTCATTCACAGCCTGGTAAGCCTAGATTGGTAGTCCTCTCTGGTGTCGTTTACTGGAGAACATGAAATGGGGATGACGACTTTAAATACCCTCCAGAGTTAGACAGCTTCTAGACACAGAAGTCCAGCCTCTTGTACCATATCGCATGTCAGACCCTGCCACAGTTCCCTGCTGACATTTCAGAGGTGGGCAGACACCATGATGTTGCAGTTGACATGGCAGCTTGGCCAGGTATGAGCTCGCATGTGGCGCATTTATTGCTATAGGTGTTAAAAAACAAATCACGTCTTTAAAAGGTCAACATGGTTTATACTAATTATATGACTATTGAAAGGCACAGTTTGGGGCATGCCTGTTTATTATGATTCAAATTAGAGAAGTGATACTGCTTCATTGCAGAGAACCAGGAAGGGAAAAAGAAAGAAAATCACCCATAGCCACCACTATCCTTCTTGGAATTGGGGTGTGCCCTCTAACCTCCTCAAGATGATGGTTTCCATGGAACTTTGCCCTTGAAGTTATCTATACTTTTTAACTACGTCGCGTTGCGTAGGTCAACAAGTACCCATGCAGTGTTCCCCGCGGTCTCACGCCAACCTTGCCTTTTTATTTTTTAGTCGGGGAGAGCTTTGGGTCTTGCTCTGCTACCCAGGCTGGAGTCCCGTGGTGCAATCATAGTTCACTGCAGCCTCAACTTCCTAGCCTCAAGTGACTTCCCACCTCTGCCTCCCAGCCCTGCCTTTTGGGAGTGTGTGTGATGTGATAGCAATATCCAAGGAGTAGATGTTGGCAGAGCTGCTCTCATGCTGCCATGCAATGCAGCCACCAGGGAATGAGTGATGTCTCAGTACAATGGAGAGAACTTTAATCCCAGGCTAGACATAGCTGAATCTGAGATGGTACATTTTGTTGATAACACACCAGTCATCTGGGGTGCCTTGATCCTGCTCATCTTTTTCTAATCTTTAGGTTCCTCATCTTTCAGGGGAGGGTAAGAGCTGCTGTGTCCTTTCTCAGTCCCACACCTTGAACATGTGGTGTAATGTGTAAGGAAATGGTTTGCACGTCACAAATCGTGGAAATAAAGGGTTGTTGTCATTGCTATTAATATTGTTAAATAGAGTTTCTAGTATGCCGTGTTGGTAAAGAGCAAGTCTCTAGAGTAAGCTTCTCCAACCCATGCCCCAAAGCCAGGCTGCAGGTAGCCCAGGATGGTGTTGAATGTGGCCCAGCACAAATTCATAATTTTCTTAAAGCCTTAGGAGGATTTTGTAAATTTTTTTTTCAGCTCATCAGCTATCGTCAGTATTAGTGTATTTTATGTGTGACGCAAGACAGTTCTTCTTCTTCCAGTGTGGTCCAGGGAAGCCAAAACTTTGGGCATGCCTGCTCAAGAGCCAGTCCTAACTCCGCTATTTTCCACCTAGCTGTGTGACCTTGGGCAAGTTACTTAACCTCTCTGATGATCACTGACTTCTCCTGGAGGTGCTGCTGCATTTTTACCTCTCTCATAAGATTGCTGTGAGGATGCTGAGACAAGCAGGCCATGGTGCTTGCAGCAACACCCAGCAGGTAGCAAGAGGACCACCAGTGGTAGCCATCAGTGTTTTTATTTGATGATCCAGAACATGTATCGCTTCTATTGTACTTTGACTAGTCTGTTGTCGTCCTGGCTTTTCCATGTCTTTAAGTTCTTTGCTGTCTTAGAAGTAGTTTATTTTCATGGCTGTAAGAATCTGTCTGAAAACTATACATGGTGAATCATGTTAATGTGGTAAGCTGTAAACATGTCATTTATCACAGAATCCCAGATCATGATTTATCCTTCCACAGATAGCCTTTATTATATAAGCTTGTAGTATATATTTAATGAACTAGTGTGAAAGTTCTTTTGGTCTGGCTGGTTGCGGTGGCCGACGCCTGTAATCCACCACTTTGGGAGCTGAGGGAGACAGATCACTTGAGGTCAGGAGTTTGAGACCAGCCTGGCCAACATGGTAAAACCTCATCTCTGCTAAAAATACGAAAAATAGCTGGGCATGGTGGCATGCGCCTGTAATCCCAGCTACTCAGGAGGCTGAGGCAGGAGAACCACTTGAACCGGGGAGGTAGAGGTTGCAGTGAGCAGAGATCGCACCACTGTACTCTAGCCTGGGAGACAAAGTGAGACTCTGTCTCAAACTAAAAAATAAATAAATAAAAATAAAAGTCCTTTTTTTCTTATTTTTTATTTATTTTTTAAGATAGGATCTTGCTCTGTTGCCCAGGCTGGAGTGTGGCGGCATGAACATGGTTCACTGCAGCTTTGATCTCCTGGGCTCAACTGATCTTCCTGCCTCAGCCTCCTGAGTAGCTGGGAGCACAGGCGTGTGCTACCACCCCTGGCTAACTTTCTAAATTGTTTGTAGAGGTGAGGTCTCTACAACTCGCTGAGTTGACCAGGCTGGTCTCAAGTGATCCACCTGTCTCAGCCTCCCATAATGAGCCACCACTCCTGGATGTAAAAGTTCCTTTAAAATGGTATTCTCTGCCTGAGTATGGCGGGTCATGCGTCTAATCCCCAGAACTTTGGGAGGCTAAGGCAGGAGGATCAGTTGAGCTCAAGAGTTCAAGATCAGCCTGGACAACACAGGGAGACCCTGTCTCTACAAAAAGTTACATAAATTAGCCAGATGTGATGGCACACACCTGTGGTCCTAGCTACTCAAAAGGCTGACACGGGTGGATGGCTTGAGCCCAGCACTTGCAGGCTAGCTGGAGCTGTAATTGTTATCACTGCACCTCAGCCTGGGCAACAGAGCAAGACCCTATCTCAAGAAAAAAAGAAAAAGCATTTTTCTTGTAATTTTTAAAGACTTCCTTCCAGTACAAAACACTGTCTAGTCGATTGAGAATTAAAATACTAAGTGTCTAGTCTATTGAGAATTAACTTAGAATGCTCATATGTCTTGGATTGACTTTTTAAACCCTGTTCTGCATTCTTAAACCATTTGTGATTGAGGCTTACAACCATGTAACAATCCTTTTAAGTTCTGAGAGTGAATTTAAGTCCAGTAATGCTCTTAAGGAAAGAGAGAGGTGTCTGTTTTCTCATATGAAGAGGATATCTTGAAGGGAGCCATATGGGCTATACATCTACCTTGGGGTATACTTGACAGGGAGAGGCAAGGAGAGGCAGGTTCAGGATTTCCCATCCCAATCTTTCTTTGGTGCCGGGGAGGCAGAGGTTGCAGTGAGCCAAGATCACACCACTGCACACCAGCCTGGGAGACAGAGTGAGGCTCTGTCTCAAACTAAAAAATAAAAATAAAAGTCCTTTTTTTCTTATTATTTTATTTATTTTTTGAGATAGGGTCTTGCTCCGTTGCCCAGGCTGGAGTGTGGCAGCATAAACATGGTTCACTGCATCCTTGACCTCCTGCGCTCAAGTCAGCGTCCTGCTTTGGCCTCCTGAGTAGCTGGGAGCACAGGTGTGTGCCACCATGCCTGGCTAATTGATCCATGATTTCCTCCTTGATCCCACAGAATAAGCAGTGTTGACCTTGTGTGGATCATGGGTAGGTAAAGGTGGTTGATACCACTGTTTCCTGCTTCACATGAGTCAGAGAGCCTGGGTGTCTCTGGCCTGCAGGGTTCCAGCCCTCACCTCAGGTCAGCAGTGTGTGAATCCTCTGTTGACCCACGGGTACCACTTGGTAGATTCACCAGAGCTCCTGTTGTGTACCAAGCATTGGCCTGTGTGCTGTTGCCAGCAAAACAGGTGTGATCCTCAGGGAGCCTCAAGTCTGGAGGGGCAGGCAATTATTGATTGAACAAACTTACAATGAATGTATAATTAAGACAGGGACATTTACTGCAAAGGAAAAATAAAGAGAGTCTTTAAATCAAACGACACATAGCACCGACTTGGGCTGAGTTGGAAATGACTAGTTTATGAACAGGGATATATTTTTTAAAAGATTTACTCTCCTCTCAATGAATAATTTATTAAATACGAAAAGCAAGAGAAATGTGATTAAAGGAATGCCGCATTTTTGGGGAAACTGTTGTTGAGAGTTTGAAACAGACTTTTTGATAACCAGCCAATTGCGCAGGCTGGTGCCACGTTTTCAGTGCCCTCTGATACGTGCATGTGAAAAAGCTGCTTATTTTCCTGTTTAATATCAATCTGTTGATTTCAAAATACGCGGAGAGAAAATCAGAGACATTGTCCGCATTTGGAGATACTCAGAAGCACAAATGTAAATCCTAGAAGAACGCTTGTTGTGACCTGAAGCCTCCTGAGAGGAGAATTTTATTTACTTACCAGACTCGTGTGAGGTTGATTGGTCTAATAAAACTGGATTTTAAATGAATGTGGAGCATGGTGTCCCTTTGCCCTGGGTATTTAAAAATAGACCAAGAATTTCTCCTAGGGCATCTTTCAGATACACTTTAGCAGACTCATGAAAGCTGTTCCTGGGACTCATTTAAATCTGAAACAAAATGAGCATTTAACAAGGTGAGTTGGTTCAGGTTAAAAGCGTCTCCTCCTTTCAGCTCATCGGAAATCATCTCTCACTGGACACGGTTCCCCCAAGACTGGCTAGGCTGGTCCCCTGGGTGCTGAAATGATCGGTAAAACATTCCGGAGTTCAGGTCTCTGTTCTCATGTTTCTCTGCCAGACGCCTGGAAATGTGAATTTGCCTACACATGTTGAGATGTTTTTTACACTTGCATGCTTCTGGGCTGAAGATGAAGGTGGTTGCTTTTCTTCCCCTTCCCCTTTTCAATATTGTAGGGACCAAGCGGTTTGTTGCTCTCTGCTGCCCCCTGTTGCTCTTAAATGGGAACAGCTGGTTTTCTACTGAAGGTGATTCTTAAAATAACCATTACAAAGAGCTTCTTATGAGGTTGAACACTGGGTTCCTAGCTTCATGTGAGGTTGGCTGATTTTTTTTTTTTAAACTGACTTTTAAATAAAAGTTGAGCTAAATGGGAAAGAAGGTATCTATCAATAGCAGGAATCCCAGGGTTAATGGGATACCCAAAGAAGAAAGTAAGTGGCTGTGAGCCTCTCTTTGCATCACTGGTACATTCCATCTACCTGCAGCTAAGCTTGGTTACCTGAGAGCCCTTGTCCTTTTAATTGAGCCCTGGAGTTATGTTCATTTAAACAAACATCCTCCTAGCTCCAGTTTATCCAGATCCTGCATGAGTGGCTGGGGTTTCCAGAAAGGAGGGATTATAGCCACATGGTGAGTAGTTAATGTGAGTTTGGAGGTAAAGCTTCAACTCTTTTCAACCATATGGCTCTGAGCCTTGGTGTCTGTGTCTGTATAATGAGGATTATGGTAATACCTGATTCAGAGGTGGTTGTGTGAAGCAGTGAGAAACTTAAACAATTCATGATTTGTTGGTCAGTTACTATTGCCTGTGCTTTTTTTTTTTTTTTTTTTTCCCGAGATGGAGTCTCACTCTGTCACCCAGGCTGGGGCGCAGTGGCATGATCTTGGCTCGCTGCAGTGTCTGCCTCCTGGGTTCAAGCAGTCCTCCTGCATCACCCTCCCAAGTAGTAGCTGGGATTACAGGCATGTGCCACCACATCCGGCTAAGTTTTTTTGTATTTTTAGTAGACACGGGGTCTCACCATGTTGGCCAGGCTGGTCTTAAACTCCTGACATCAGATGATCCACCTACCTCGGTCTCCCAAAGTGCTGGGATTACAGGTGTGAGCCACTGCGCCTGGCTGCCAGTGCATTTGAAGCACTCTGCGTTCGATAGCTTTTTCATCCTTACAAAGACAGCAAAGATGCTTGTCTCTTCCCTTTCAAATCAGAGGGAAAACCGTTCCTAGCAGCCCTTAGGAAACCTTCTCTTCATCTCCTTGACCAGGTTTGTATCCCATGCCTTTGCCTAAACCAACCTCTGGCAACAGGGATGGAAAGATAAGCTGTGCTTAGATTAATCAGAATGATCCCTGAGGAAGGGACGATATTCTCTGAGCTCACAGAGAATAACCATTCAAATAGAACTGGATCTGAGTCAGGAAGAGAGAACACCCTGGGGATGTCAGCTTGGTTAGCAACCAGCACGGTCTACCTTACATAGCTGCCAGATGATGCTCTTGAACCCAATAGCCCAAATCTCATGGGTGCCATGGGAAGTGCTTGTCACAGGGCGTAGCCCATAGCACTCCCACTGGACAAATTCACCCAATCACTGTTCTCAGGAAGGTCATGCTGTAATGGATAAGACACACTCATAAGTTATTTATTTATTTATTTATTTTGACATGGAGTTTCACTCTTGTTGCCCAGGCTGGAGTGCAACGGAGTGATCTCGGCTCACTGCAACTTCCGCCTCATGGGTTCAAGCAATTCTCCTACCTCAGCCTCCTGAGTAGCTGGGATTACAGGCATGCACCACCACGCCCGGTTAATTTTGTATTTTTAGGAGAGACGGGGTTTCTCCATGTTGGTCACGCTGGTCTCGAACTCATGACCTCAGGTGATCTGCCCACTTCAGACTCCCGAAGTGCGGGGATTGCAGGCATGAGCCACTGTGCCTGGCCATAAGCAGATATTTTCATGGCAAGATGGAACATGCCTTATTAGCTGCAGTCACAGACATTTATGGAGACTCAGAAGGTCCCTCATGTTTGAAACATGTGTTTCTACATAGGCTGTTTACATTTATTTCTTTCAACTGTGTGTCACTTCTTGCCTTCATCCCGCCTTTGGTCCAGTTTTGATTTTGGTTTTGGTTTTTGAGATAGGGTCTTGCTTTCTCATCCAGGCTGGAGTGCATTGGCACAGTCACAGCTCACCACAGCCTGAACCTCTGGGACTCAGGTCATCTTCCAGCCTCAGCTTCCCAAGTAGCTGACCACTGACACGCACCACCACGCCCAGCTACTATTTTAATTATTTGTAGACATAGGGTCTCACTGTGTTTCCCAGATGAGTCTCAAATTCCTGGGCTCATACAGTCCTCCCGCCTTGGCCTCCCAAACTGCTGGGATGATATGTGTGAGCCACCGGACCTAGCCCCACCTCTGGTCAGAATCCCTCAACTGCAAATATCCTTTTTCACCCACGCTCCCATCTTCTCTAATCCCAGGGAACACTGGCAATCTTTAAGCAGAATAATTGGCTGCCGGAAAGCCTGTGGATTTATTTGGAGCATGGGTCAAGAAGAAATCTCCCAAAGGAGCTTGGGGGCATTCTCCATTTGATTTCATTATTCAAAAAATGACGTCGAATTTTAGAAGAGGAGAAAAACATTCAGTAGAGTATCCTGGTTACAGCCTCAGCTTTGCTACTCAACACTGTTTCTACCTGAACAACTTGGAGTTATGGGCCTGAGCTTTTCTATCTGGAAATAGGGGTAATAATAACATGTCCCTCTTGGGGTGCTCTGAGCAGTCATTGGCAGAACATTTTTAAAGTGTTTTTGCACAGTGGCGAGAAATTTGCTGTATTTAATGGTCCTTCCTCATGATTTTATTTTTATTTGTTTTTATTTTTTGAGACAGGGTCTCACTCTGTCAGCAAGGCTGGAGTACAGCAGTATAACCATGGCTCACTGCAGCCTCAACCTCCCAGGCTCAGGTGAGCCCCTCATCTCTGCCTCCCGAGCAGCCGAGACCAGAGATGTGAACCACAGATGTGAACCACCACGCCCAGCTACTTTTTGTATTTTTTGTAAAGATGGAGGGGTCTTACCATGTTGCCCAGGCTGATCTCCATCACTTAGGCTCAAGTGATTCTCCTGCCCCGGCCTTCCAATATGCAGGAATTACAGGTGAGAACCGCTGCACCTGGCCCCTTCCTCATTCTTTTAAAAATATTTTAACTTTCAAAAGGTTAAGGATCCTTTATAATGATTTGCTAGTTTAGAAAAAAAAAATAGTGACATCGTGAAAAAATAAGCCTGCTCTCTCTTTCATTTTCTGTGATTACCTGTTGGGATTCCTTGGTTAGGAGCTAAGGTGAGGCATTCTAGGGTGTTCAGGGGCCCACCTCTTCACAGGGAAGACCAAGCTTTCTTGTCCACCTGCTTTGCAGAACAAACATCTTAGAACTCCACAGATGGGGAGTCAGAGACCCTGAGTGATTAAGTAATTTTGACCTTGAACTATTTATTTGACTTGAAGTGGCTAATGGCCAGATAAGTACTCTGAGATGGTATCTCAGCTTCTGCTATCTTTCCTGTGAGAAAAAGAAAAAAAAGATCTTGATAGTGATCAGAATTCATTTGCAGAAGTGGTTTCCTTTTCCCCAGTCAACTCCTCAGAATCGCCTTCTGTCCTCTGTGAGCGTTCTTCATTCATTCATTCAACTCATTCAAAGCTGTCTCAGGCACCGTGCTGGGGGCTGGGTGAGAGTGGGGAGTCCTTTCTTCAGGGGCTCAGTTCTGCTCCTGTATGCATTCTTCCTCCATAACTTTCAGATCCAGGACCTCTCCTGTGGGCAAGATCTGCTTGTTTTCTCCACATGACTCTTTGGGTCAGAAACATTTGCCTGACTTTGAGGCTCACACCCAGGTTTTTAGGACACCCTGGGTTCTATGCCTCTGATGACTTGAAGGCAGGCAGGGAAAGTAGCAGTGTGTGTGTGTGTGTGTGTGTGTGTGAGTGAGAGATGGTGCTTCCGCCCAGGTTTTTAGGACACCCTGGGTTCTATGCCTCTGATGACCTGAGGGCAGGCAGGGAAAGTAGCAGTGTGTGTGTGTGTGTGTGTGTGTGTGTGTGTGTGTGTGTGTGTGAGAGAGATGGTGCTTCCGCATGTAAAGAGATGGTGCTTCCCATGGTGCTGAAATTTTGCCCTCCCCAAGAGTTGGTTCCCTTCACCAAACTTTAATTTTCTCTGAACTCCATCTTATCTTTGTAAGATAGAAGTGTTGATTTTTTTTAAGCTCTAGAATACATGTGCCGAACGTGTAGGCTCGTGGAGATTTGCTGCACCGATTGACCCATCACCTACGTATTAAGCGGCACATGCATTATCCCTTTATCCTGATCCTCTTC